ATATATATATAATTTCACTTCTCCTTTCTCTTCCTCCATTTAAATTTTAATACAAGGAAAAAAAAAAGAAAAGAAAACTGTACCCAGCTCCACTTGCTACTAAATACATAAATTTGAATCAAATCACATAAACTAGTATGCTATAAAGGATTTATGCAGTCAGTCTTTACGAAGTTTCCAAACTTATTATTGTCGATGGAAGAGAAGGATCTGAATGCTGTTGCTAGTCAGGCCTGCATGTCCATGTATGTATATCTTGATTGCATAATCGTTATAACAGTGAGGTTTGCTAATGTATTACCTCTTTCATTTTTTATATGTAGTCATGATACTCAAGATGCTCATGAGTTGGAGAATATTCTATGATCAAGAAAATTCTAGGATATGTTTTCCCTGTGGACATAAGCTGTGAAGTCAAAACCACGTTTTCTCTCTCCCTGTTTGTTCATTGTTTCATGACTAGTAAACTAGCTTGTTACCTGAAAGCAGAGTCGGAGAGCTTCTTCTCCTCGTGAGTTCCTGAGACTGGATAGCCCGCAAAGGATCTCTCTCATGTCAACATTTCCATCACGGTTGTTGTCAAACAGATCAAACACTCGAGAAGCTAGAGGGATTAGTGAATCCATCTTTAGAGCCTTCAGGACTTCCTCAAACTCTGACAGAGTAGCGTTCTCTCCATTTGCACATCTGCATCCACAACACCTACTTTTACGTTTTGAACTCCAATGAATTAAAGATCATACATAGTTCTCTAAGCATTTCAGATTTTTCAGCTATCATGCCATGATAAATAGATCTTAGCTATTCATACAATAATTTACCAAGATATGATAACTTATCAACAATGTCAGAATTATAGATCATAGTTCTCTATGCACTTCAGAATTTTCAGCTATCATGCCATGATAAATAGATTGTCTTCGGCTACTATTCATACTATAATTTACCAAGGCATGGGAACTTATCAACAATTTCAAGTACTACATCAAATACAAATGACTACGTATGCAGGAAAAAGAAAACAGAGAGAGTTACATCAGATAGTGCCATAAAATTGCTATTTTGAGAATTCACATGAATAACACAATATAACAGTAGCACAACGTATCATTGTTCTAATAGAAAAAAGCATATGAAACTAAACAATGTTAGCTGATCTTATGCAAATCAATTGCAAGTTTATTAGACTTATAGAGAACATAGGAGGGAAAAGAAATCTTGTATGAGCATGAAAGATTGATTTCACTATATCTGATCTTAATAATGAAATGAGCTCTTGAGTGACCTATTGTAATTTTCCAGTGCCCTTACCAGAACATACATGCCAGATATTCTCATTAGTGATTTAAGGTTGGATATATTATCAATTTATTCAATATTGCTTGGTCACCGCTGCAGCATCTGAACATGATCGTTAAAATGATTCGTAAGGGTAGTTTCAAAAGCTCATTTAAAAAAAAAAAACTATCAACCATATCAGATATCGAAAGAATTACATTCTCTTGAAGTGTAAACGTAGATTTTCAATTTCCTCAGTGGTGAGATCATTTGATCCTAGCAGGCTCTTCAGCCTCTTTGTTCGTAGAGCAACCTTACTACTTAATACGCTTGCTATTGCAGCTGCACGCAATTTCCGCCGAGCATTAAATCTCTGCAGTTTAGTGACAACCTCTGAATCCATGAGCTCCTCCTTAGCAGAATCCCCTATGACCCATGGATGCTTCAGAAGCTGTTTACATATCAGATCAATGAGACTGAATAAACAGACGATATAGAAAAAGTTATATGACATCACCATAGTTCAATATAGTCACAAAAAAATAATGCATATGGACATTAATCATACATCACTAGCAGTGGGTCTCTTATAAGTCTCCACGGATAACAGTCTAGAAATCAAATCCTTCGCTGAAAAGGATATGGTCTTCCATGTAGGATCCTCAAAGTTGAAGTCACCCTGGATATAGAACATTTATGTTGATCGTTAAAATTATAAAAAAAATTCATAAGTTTGGCATGAAGAGAAAAAAAATATGATGCGGATTGTTGGGAGGGAGAGAAGAATTGGAAACCAAAAGAGAATCTCAGTGATCAATAATCAAAGGAATACATCAAAAAGTCAATGTAAGATTAACATGATTTGACACTCTTTATCTGTATCCATGCAGAAAATCAAATTCTTCATTATATGAAAAAATCAGGAATCACTCTTCCAGAGCTAACCCGAACCAAAGCCCGAAACTCTTGTATATCCTCTCATATAAACCCGAAGAATTCTTCGCTCAACTCTCTCTAGATCCACTAGAGAATATCTTAAGAGCACCCAAAATATTTTCATCTATGCCTCTCCCTTTTACTAAAATCATGAAATGTGTGGTGTATTTATAAAAACAAATCCTAATTCACTAAGAAATACTCTTTCTACTTGGATCTCCAATCTCAATCTACCAAGGACTTTAAATCTAATTAGGACTGGTCCAAATATCAAAGTGGTTTCAGCATAATTACTATTTTTAAAATACTTCAAATCCTAGCCATCTCTATGTTAACGAGAATCTTCCTACTTTGTGTCTCCTATACAAAATCTATAAACTATTGGCTTAAAGAATTTACCGCAGCTACGCAGATGAATCAATTCATGGCTCAACATTTGATTATAATAAACTCGCCAATATACCATGTGTAACTAAAACTAAATCAATGACACTACTTATTCGGGAGAGATCTTCATCTCTCCGTCTCACCACCAATTCGACTTTTCCCCTTACATTGTCCATCACCCTTTGTTTTCTTTATCGCGAACAAGACTTGCTATTGCAGGTACCTACCATCCCTACACGTGCAACATGTGTCCAGCCCTTTGAGATCTTTACTATGCTTCATCCATATGGTATAATTCTTGATGCAATCTTCATTCATTAGGCCTATATAACCCCAAGAAATTTTTAAAACTCCACCTCTAACCCTGTAGCCATAATCCTTGGAAACCAAAAGACTTAAAAAATTTGTATCTTTGGAACATAAGCCACATCCTCTAAAGTATGTTGTGTTCCCTCAAATATTTTGATATTTACCTTACCAACATGTATGACATCCATCATTGAATCATCACTTAGATTCAACTTGCTAGTCAACTTGTTATTTAGTGAACCAAAACAATCTTTTGAGAACAAATACGATTAACACAAGTAAAATTTAAATGTCAACTCTTCTAGAAAAATGCATTATTACCTTTGGAGAGTATGAGGACATCTCTATCACCGTCCATCATAAGAAGGCACTCATCAGGCTCTTCTTCCCTTTCTTTTAACAAGTTACTTCATATGTCCATAATAGCATTGAACATCATCCAAAAACCTAACTTTTGATCTTGATTTGTCATCCTGAGATCAACTCTTATCGAAAAATCATCCTAATTGATATCCACCCTAAGTAGCTAACGCCTCATTATCAATGTTCTTATATTTATCATTTTTCCTTGCAACATGAGATACTAAAGCTTTTTCAACTTGTTTCAGAGTTATTGTATCTTTTTCACATAATATCTATCTCTACAAAATTGTCATAAAAGTTGATGAGTGATGCAAGAAGTAACGTCTTATCTTCTTCATTAGTCTTCACATCAACTTTATTTAGTTTATCTAAAATTTCTTTGAATATATTTAGATGTTTTATCAAGTCTTTGCCTTCCTCGATTCTCAACTATAACTTCTAGTTTAGATATAACTTGTTAGTCAAACTTTTAGTCAAATAAAGCTTTTTCGTGATGACGAAATCGTCATCAATTATATTATTGATAGTATTATCAATGATGCAAAGACGAATAATGGTTACACACTTTGCCTGAAGCTTCTCTCAGTATCTCAATATTTATCACTCATTTTTTCTGGTTTGGTTGATTGTCCTAGGCCTTGTAGTTTAAGAAGACCCTCTTCTTTGCCACAGAGTGAAACTATTTCTTTCATCAAATTTCTCCATAGTAAAGTCCACAGAAATAACTGACAATATCCTTATTAATTTTCTAATTATGGATATTTTAAGCTTTGATACCATTTTGTTAGGGAGAGAGAAGAACTCAAAACTAAAAGAGAAACCCGAAAGATCAACCAAAGAATATACTAAAAAATGGCATAAGATTAACGTGGTTTGACACTCCCTACCTAAATGTATGTAAAAAATTAAATTCTTCAATATATGAGAAAACTAATATGAGGAATCACTCTCTCATAAGTCAACTCAAACCCGAGCCTGAAACCGTTATATACACTTTCACATAAACCCGAAGAACTTTTTTCTCACCTCTTTCTAGATTCAATAGAGAATGTACTCAGGAAAACCCAAAATGTCTTCCTCTATAACTTTTCCTCTCATAAAAATCATGAAATAAATAGTGTATTTATAGAAACAAGTCCTCATTCACTAAGGACTTCTCATTTTACTTGGATCACTAATCCAAATCCTAATACACTAAGAAATTGAATCTAATTAAGATTCCTTGCTAGTTCTAACACACATCATTAATTATACATCAAACCATTTATAGGGATATTGTGCAATACCACCATGTTAAATGTCAATCTTCCTTCCTTTGGTCCATCCTTGAAATGTCTCTCCAAGCCTCCAAGGATCTTGCTTTTGAGTTCTAATAGCTATTTATCCTAATAGCATCGTATTCCTTCTCTATGCTTTGTGGACAAGTGGAATTGCCTTCGGCCACGTGATGATTATTGTTGACAAGAACATGGAGGAGCAGAACATGGATCTCCGATCACCATTGCAAATTAAAAAGTAGCATCTCTATAAGATTCAAGGGAGTGTTAGGTTCAAAGTTGCGGGGTTGCTATGCTTAAAAATCAACATTGTAAAGCAAGAAGGTACATCTCTCCAAGGAGGAAGTGGCCGACTCTCTAGGCACACCTCAGACAAATGGAGATTTTCTTAATCTATGATTTATCTTACTAGTGTTAGTTAGAAACAAGATTTTAAAAAGCAAGAAATCTATGGAATCCATCCAAGAAGGAAATTGCTGACCCTTTAGGCACACCTTAAATCGACAAAGATTTTCTTAATATGTGACTTCTCTGACTAATGAGTACAATTAGTTAGAACCAAGGTTTGACAAAGTAAGAAGTTTATGAAATCTCTCCAAGGAGCAAGTGGCTGACTCTCTAGTCACACCTTAGACAGACATATATTTTCTTAATCTATGATTTATTTCACTAATGATTACTATTAATTGGAGCCAAGGTTTGATATATCGCTTGAAATAGGACAAATTGGGAGACTTATACCAATCAATTAGTTGACCAATACGCTCAAATATGGCCTGATATCGGCTGGCACGAGATATATATCGATTGATCTGGTAAAATTTATCTAGTATATTGAAATTTGACCCATACCAACCAAAATCGGGTCTATTTTGACCCCCAACGGTCAAATTGACCATTGGGATCTCTTTCGGGGCTTTAAATCTCCCTCCCTCCCCCCTCTTTTACTTACTTTCTCTCACTCTTATTGACCCTCTCAATCTCACTCTTTTTCCCACTTTTTCTTACACTTTTGTAATTAAAGTTCCTAAGCAATTGATTCAACATCAACGAAAGCAACTTCCTACAGCAGAGACCTGTCTACTTTATTTAAGTATTATTTATATTATGGATGAATCCTTAAAAATATTTTTTTTATTTTTTAGTTAGTTTTGACTTTTTTCCTAATAATTCGGTATGCATCGATAATACCAACACACAGTATGTCGGTAGCTACCTGTACATACTAGTTTGATCAAGGGGATTGATACCACCAATCAGCATGACAATCCTTGGTTGGAACCACTATGGTGTTAGACATAAGGCTATAAGAAAATATATTGTAGCACATACATTTTCTCTCTTTTTTCTTTCTTTTTTTCTTCTTCTCCCTTCTCACCCTCTCTTCTGCTTCCATGAGAGATCCTCTCTCTGTTTCTTTTTTTTTTCTTCTCTCTTTTCTTTCTGCCTTCTCTTCTTCTTCCACAAGATCATCTTTCTCTTCCTTTCTTCTTCTCTCTTCTCTCTTCTTCTTTCCTTCTCCCTTCTTTGTTTCTCTCTTTCTCTCTCTCCTATGTGAAACACTCCTTATGTAAAAGGCGATGTAGTGAAGGTGTTAACTAGCTTAATTGATAAAGATTTGAAAGTATATTATGAGGTCCTGGACTCAAATTTCGCCTTCACCACTTATCATTTATAAAAAAAAAAGCAGTGATGCAATTACAAGACAAAGGCAGTGTGGAGCTAATTATTTGTTTCTCTCTTTCTCTCTCTTCCATGTGAAACACTCCTTATGAAAGAGGCAATGCAGTTACGAGACACACAGGTGGTGGGGAGCTAATTTATTTTTTCTTTTGTGCTTTTTGCAGTACTTACATTGGGGTCCTTAAATAAAAATATGGATATTACATATTTCCCCCTAAATAAAAAGTTTAGTCCATAAATGTGATGTATTTGACTCAAAAAAGATTAATAATAATATAACTTCAGTCATACTTTCATTTTTTTCTACATAATTTCATCAAATATACCAATCAATAAAACTCTTATCAGATAGTTCCTGTAATTGTTTATTCAATAATTTTAATTTAATAAATATCATTCTATAAAGGATCTTAACAATTAATCCAATGTTAAATATTAAATTCATAATGACTTCAATCTCACAATCAGGTAATAACTCTGATAACTTCTAGAGAAACATCTGAGTCTTTATAATAGTGAATGATCTATCAAGTTCACATCATCTTAATTGATGTTTAAGAGTACAATTATATATCTTTAGCATCTCATCCTCGATCAATATTTGGTTTAGATCACTAAAAAGACTCAGGAAGAAGTATATTGTATTTTTAAAGCTGAATTCAACGTTATCAGTGATTAAAAAATTCACACTTATCCATAACAAATCAAAGAGAATATAGGTATATTATGTATATTCCAAGATAGCATCAAAATCTTTTATTACTAATTTAATTAAATAATTTAAAATTTATTAACATCAATATTCATCAGTAGATTTACAAAACAGTTAGGATGACTCCATTAGGTCTTTTCGGCTAGAAGCTAGACAGTAATAAACCTACAACCCTTTCTTGTGGACTAACAACTACAGAGCTAACCATTGTTCTATTTGTTTGGTAGTTGCTACCAAGACAATTTCTTTATGCCCATCAAAGGACCTCGAGATGCTAATCCACGAAAATCAATAATAGAAATAGAAAAGAACACAACTGCGGAACGAGGGCAACCAATGAAAATACATCACGTTCTTACTCGTCAACTTTGACAATCGTTTTCTTTTTCTAAAATGTAGGTGACAATGGTGGGGTTTGAACCAAGATCTACGATGAGCCATCAAAGTCTTTACCAGCTAGACTATCTAGATACTTATAATAATATCGCACACAATTCAATGTGTACATGTATGTATACATCCTCTTATATTTCTTAACAAATATAGTCAAGTGCATCCGCAATAGTCAATTCATTAACCTCAATAGTCAAATGCTTCCTCAAATTACTTTTATCTATCAATATTACATATAACATCGCTTCTTTTCTAATAGATTAATACGTAACTTAATAAAAGTCTACAGCAACAAAAACCCTAGCTAATCAAAGATAATCCTAAATAATTCTAATATGACTTTGGATAAACTATTTAATCAGATCCATTAATATACAAGTATAATCATATCTGATCACATCAGCTCAGTTTTAATATACAAATTGCATCCACTACCAAGTGAGGTCAGATTCTTTATAAAAGGTTATAATTAGATCAGATATACTCTATCAAGCTTCAATCACAGAGGTCCATTATAATAAAAAATTTGCCATGATTTAGGATAACCAATCATCAACGATTAGGTTTGTAAATAAATAATAAAATCAAGATAGTCAACTAAAAACGTCCTTTTATGATTTATCAAACAATTCCTGAAACATATATTATGTATTTCTTGAGGCCTCGGAAGTCTTAAATCTTCAAATGATATCATAATTCATAACACCCATATAGAAAACCTCAAGACACTACAAATTGCTAAAATTGATCCTTGATGTACACTCCAAGTATTAAGACATTCTTAAAACAAGAATTCACCCAAACCTATTCGCCTGTGTAATTATACTCTTTTTTTTAAGTAAGAAATCTTGATTTTACTTCTAGATGCAACCACAGGAGCAGTGACACATAGATGGATTACGTTCTATATGGTTCTTGTGCAGGACAATGCCATATAGATGTCTGACAAAGCGTATGTGAAGGAAGTCAAAAAAAATAAAAATTGGAAGTGCAATGATGGGAGCCGGTACACTAGGCAGCCCATCCATGATCAGAAGACCAGTCAATTTCTGATGTGATAAAGAAATCATTGTGGTAGTTGTTATGCTTAGTGTAGTTAGGGTCTCATTGTTAAGTGATTCCATGCCAATTTGTACATTCATATGATGAACAATATATATAGTACCTTGGATGTCAAGTGACCACTTGTCTATTTTCATTTTTGCAGCATTTAACATCAGCTTAGCTAGGGTGTTTATTGCAGGAGCATATGCAGTCAAAAGTGTCATTCCAATTCAGAAATTTTTCATATAAATATGATTATGAACAATAGCAATTATGACCCATGCAATATATAAATACAACATATAGTTTAAAGAAATTACCAACAAAAAAAAATTAAGTAAGCTATTGAAAAAGGACATCTATAGCTAGAAACTACCATGTGATAAGGTAAGATTAGACTTTCATGATTTGAAGCACTGATTAGTAAAACAAAGCAACTGAAACATGAGTACTATCAAATAATTGTTAGTTTGAATATCAGATCATCATGAGGACTAAAAAAGAATAGTAGCACAAAGCGACACAGCAGTAGGGTTAATGGGCTAGATGAAAGTTTAATGGGCTTGAGATACACCTAAGAGTCAGAGAAAATGAATTAACTCAATTTGACATCATGACCAACTCAAATTCCATGAGAAAATTTTAGTTTGGTTTACCATTTATCCTGAAAGTTTAAGCAGATAGATAGGAAATGGGACAAGTTATATTTAAACTCTAACACCAACTGACAATCGAAGATATCTATATACCCTATTATCTCATCTGTTGACATAAGTTTCTAGAGGGATTGGCAGCAGCCAATTTAATATAAGTTTCTGTGTTAAAAAAAGCAGAACATAATGTACTGTTTTCAAATATCAAAGTCACACGATTGTAGTTTTACTTTTACCCTATTTGATAAAATTTTCACATGTCGGGCTTAAGCAAAGGGCAGCGGTCAATGATCTATCAGAGTTCACATGGTACCAGAGAAGGAAAATAGAAAAAAAAAGAAGAGCAGCAGAAAGGAGGTGGAGACTGGAACAACAGAAAGATTGGGTGAAGAGTAGTCAGGCAAAGAAGGGAAGCAGATGAGATGCAAGCAAAAGAAGAATAAAGAACTGCACACATTCATTTGTTGTTGCTGATTATGTTGTTAATAACCGTTCCTATCATCCATGAATTGGGGGAAAGTTTCTAGTGTTCTCCTTAGACATTGAAAGTTATAGAAGGATCAAATAATTAAATGAGAAGTTCAGCAAGAAGCAATGTATTTCACTTCCCAACTATTGCGAATGAAGTGTAACAAACATAATCTACATATTCTTAGATCATCATGCCTTGGTTAATTCTAGTAATATTCTACCCCAGTATTTGCTGTTTCCCTGTATAAGGAACAAAAAGAGAGTGCACTAAAGTTGTTGAGGCTGCAAGCAAATTCATTTTTATTGCTGACGATGTCAGTCACATAGGTAAGCAATGGCGTGGAAATCTATTTTTCCTATTGCTCCCTTCATGACTACCACAGCATGCAACAGAGGTAAAACGATTGTTGCATTGCCACCATGTCTACTAATAGGCCAGTTCCTTTCACTCAACGGCATTTTGTTTCCTTTTGTTTACTGTTATAAATAGTTAAATTGAGCTAAAATTAACGTACCAAGTATGAAAGAACAACACAGGATGAAAAGAATCCTTTTGCATCAGCTACATGCCATTTGCCAGACAACTTCATATTTATTATGTATTCTCTAAAATTAGCCTTTCTATTTTATTTAGATCAGTTCGGTAGAAAATTTACAATCACTTCAGGTCACAGCTCATCTTTTCTAACATACAGTTTATCTGACCCATCTTTTGTGAGAAACTAAAGCTTCTAAAACCCATTTCCAAACTCTAAGAAAAAGAACACAAGGAAGCCTATTTTTCTAGCTAAAATCAAGTGTTATAATATTTAGCTAATCCTACTAAATATTCAGATAAAAAGCCCCCTTCCCTTTATGTAATATATATATATATATATATATATATATATATATATATATATATATATTATAATATTAAAATTTGTCATGATTAGAACTGTTGATATCAAATCTGTTATTATATATACAGAATCTGCACACCTAAAAGTACATTCTAGTTCAAAAGCTCATGTAGCAATCAATTAGTGAAGAAATTATTTTCAAAAATGTTATTCGGGGTAGTATCTAGAATTAAAATCACTTAAAAGAGCAGGAGTTCTATTCGTCCAGAAGCTATACAATTTAAGCAGTTATACAAAAACCAAGTGAGAAGACAAAGTAAAAGTAGGCAGCAAAGAAGTGCTTATGAAATTGTTACAGTAGACAAACTTACAGCCAGTATCCGCTGTTGTTTTTCTCGATTTGTTGATGCAGTAAATGGTGGGCATCTGTAGTGATGAATAACAAAATTATTTGCAAAGTCAAAGTTAGAAATGTCTTCCTGCATAGGAAACACAATCCCCCACTACTCCCTTTCCTTCCTCTTCCCCTGTTCTTCCTCTTCGCTGCCAGACCTCAGCAATGATAATGGTAGTGGAAGAGACGGGTTATTATAGCCAAATCTAGTGAGATTTTGGCGTGTGCAGGTCCAAAGGCAGATGCTTTCATTCTTTTTCCCATAAGTTCAGTGATATCGACTAGTTAGAAGGGCTAAAGAGACAAGCAAGGAAGCATGTACTTAGATCATAATACCGAGTGCTTAATCAAATTCTTAAAGAGAAAAATCCCCTAAGAGCCATTGAACCTTCTGAAAAACTTTCTTTTTTTCATTTTATGCTTCCTCAGGAAAGGGAACCTAACCAAATGGCAGATTGTTTAGCTACCAATGGCACTAATCTAGACTTTCTAGTTTCCCTTAAAAGAATTCTCTTTGTTTTCATTTTATTTTTCTTCAAGAAAGGGAACCTTACCAAATGGCAGATTGTTTAGCTACCAATGGCACTAATCTAGGCTTTCTAGTTTCCCTTAAAATAATTCTTTGTTCGCAAGTGAAATAAAAGATTTTTTTTTTCTGCTAACGTAAGTGGCAAAGATAGGATTTGGTTCTAGTTCCTTGCTACTTTATTAGTCTAGCATCAATCTTGAAGATTTATTGGATGTTGTTTCGATCCCTTAATTTGCTAAATAGATTCCTTTATCGATTAGATAAATATATATGGTACATCACCATCGAACAAATACTTCAAACGTAAAATTTAATCTTAGTTAAATGATCCTGTTACAAAAAATTATTTCCAGACTGAACCTAAGAATATGCAGACCTAACATACCATCACCAACAACAAAAGTTTAGGTATAAAACTTTGTGAAATGGGATATAGAACCTTCAATTTAGGATAAGTGAATTAGGTAGACCAGCAGTAGAGAAGTGGTTTGGATACAAGTTTGATTGTTATATATCCAAATTAAAACAAAGACAGAAACATACCCAGATAGAAGGATATACAAGATCACCCCAAGAGACCACATATCACTTGCTGCAGAAACTTCACGCCTTGACAGAGCTTCAGGTGAGACGTAATCAATTGATCCAAACAGCGCAATGATAGGATCAGTGTGATCCTCCACAGAGCTCAAACCAAAGTCCATTATTTTCAAGGGAGACCTAGCACTGCTGTCCAAGAACAAGCAATTTTCTGGCTTCAGATCACGATGAACGATGTTGGCTTTATGAAGTGCTGCTAATCCACTGGCTATCTGCTGAACGACTACAGACGCTTCGAATTCCGAATAACGCTCCTGAGCAATAATCCTATCAAACAGCTCTCCGCCAGAACAAAGCTCCAGCACAAGGTGAACTCCATCCACATCCTCATATACATCATATAGATTTATTACATTGGTGTGAGGAGAAACCTTCTCCACTATCCTCCTCATCACTACAATTTCATTTGTCAGCAATGCATCCGATATCGAAATCTGATTCTGATTCCACGAAGGCAGCCTCTTCTTGTGGCCATGATAGGTCTGCAGTGGCCCGGGAGGCGTGTACCCTCCCAATCTTCTCAGGGTTTTAATTGCTACCTGGTTCTGGTTCTGGTTCTGGTTCTTTTCCCTGATGCTGGACTTTCTGATCCCCTTTCTGACAATTGAGAAGCCGCCTCGACCCAGGACATCAACCACCTCGTAATCGTCAGATAGTTTTCTCCGTTCGATCCTCGACATTGTAAAAAGTGGTTCTGCCAGCAGAAGTCGAAAACTTGCTCCACAACTTCTTCTTCACACGCTTCCTATTCCAAAATTTTGGGTTCCACGATCACCTAGATTACTGTCACTACAGATAGATGCTCCCAAAATAAAGAAAAAACAAAGACCAATTCAAGAACTTGCTACTCTTTTCTAATAAAGACGGAGAAGCAGCACATATGATCAAGAACAGGAAACACAAACAGGCCCAAGAAACTCGACGCGTTCAAGAAGGAAGACGACTTCGAACCACAAATCAACGGAGAGCAAAGATTCCGACCGAGTAATACGAGCCTAAACTGCAATTCAGAATTGCAAGAGATATTTTTTCTGTTTTGGTATGAGACGAAGGCGCGGCGGAGGTGTGAGCGCCGCAGAAGCTGCCGATGGAAAGAGAGATCGAAGGAAACATGGAGATGAACGAAGAATGCCTTGCATTATTAAGAAGCAGATTAGATAATCATGAACGGTGCATTGTATTATATAAAACGGATTATAGTATACAGAAACGGTGGAAGTGGGTAGGGATTATAAAATAGAAAAGAAAGAAAAGAGAGAGAGAGAGCAGAGGGAATATTACGGTGGAATCGGCGACGGGGAACAGAGACGCAAAAGGACAAGGAACGGAAGCAGGTGAACGAAAGAAGAGGTCAGCGTCCTCGAAAGACCAGCGGCTGTTCTCGTTTGGTGGTTGTGGAGTACTCTTCCTTGTGTTCTCTTAGAAGGTGCTCAATGATGGTTGGCAGCCAGAAGATGCCGTCGTTGGTGACATCGTTAACAAGATCAACACAGCAAACAACGAAAAGAAGAAGATAAAACAACACAGCAATCAACGAATGGTTCCAACATAAGCTCGTTCAGTAGTCCTCCAAACATTGACCAAACGTTGCGGCCCGCTCAAATTTTTCCCAAAAAAAAAAAAAAAACACACATATTCTAATGCTACAGTGCACTGTTCATGATTAACTAATATGCTTTTTAAAACAGATTATGAGAGTTCGACTATGAAATTCTAATATAAAAAATAATACAAAGATTATTTATAAATAATACTTTTTTTTTTGTTTTTGGTCTTTATATACCCTATTTTTAATTAATTATTTAAAATATCATTTGGAAAGAAAAATAATATTTTATTATTTGATGTGACACTATAATGAAAATAAATATTTAACATTTATTGGGTTTTCAATATTTTTATTTTTTCATATATTTAAAATTTCAAATAATATTATTATATCATTTTTAACTTTATATTAAAAGGTTAAATTTTATTTTTATTATTTTAATATAATGGGTGATTATTTGATCAATCACTCCCTTTTTTATTATTTCCGTTTCATAATCTCTTATATCAATACTACCATTAAGACATTGCCCGGTACAATAATATCATTAATTATTGTTAAACCTAGTTGTCGACTTTCTCTCTATTGCAATTGAATCCAACTAATTCTACTCTCATGTGCACTCCTCTGTTTTCTTGGCTCTCTAGCTACCTCTACTCTCTCGCGTCAAACAGTTCTCTTTAGTAATCGACGAAACATGTTCACTAACTCTTCTACTTTTTCTTAGACCTCATATGTCCAATCTTGTTTTGGAACTCTACTATCGACTCTTTAACATCCTCACGGGTTTTATTGTTATTACCCTTATCCTTAAGCTATAGCTTCTATGAAACTCATTCCCATCTCGTCTACTCTCGATAAGGCAAACCCAATAGGTATTTCTCTTATCTCGAGTGGCTCTACCTATACAGTGTTTTGGTTTTAGTTTTTAGATTTTTATCTAGGGTTTTCCCTCATTAGTGACAACCTAAACCCTAAAGCGGATAGCATTGTATCATATCTTCTCTCTCCCAAATCCCTAATGTTCTCTTCATCTTCTCTAGTGCTGACGACTCTGGACTCCCATAAATCTTAATCTCCTATAGCTTTTACAATCATCTCATCGATTATGAAACACTATAGATCAGTGTCGAAAATACCCTAAAACTCCCCTAAAAGCTTTGCCTTTTTTGTGTAGATTACTCGACTGGACATTAGTATTTCTGGATTAGTTCTCAATGACAATAGTATTGAGCATCTCGGTTCTCGTTGGTTGTCTAAGAGTGAACACTGTGTCGTATTCATATTGCTCTTCTCATAGGTTTGATAAGTAATGATCGTGTCCTCTATTGAAACACTATAATCGTATATTATTTTCAAAAAGTTAAATTAGTAGGTGTTAAAGACACTAAGATGATTCTTGATGATTTGACTATGAATTTTAAAGATGAGGCTAAGAATAATGACACTGAGAGTAAGACTCCTGAGGGGTAGACTAGATAATTAGCCATGAGAAGATCATGATTGTTGAGGTGGAGGGGCTACGAGTCAAGCTTAATTAGCTTAGAACCTTAGGTGATGAGATTGGAACTATTGATGTTAAGATAGGTAAGACCACAAGGGAGGAGGCTATGATGATTGGGGTTAAGGGGTGAAGAGACTTTAAGTATTGAGATTTACAAAACTACTATGGTATATGAGAATAAGAGTGTCAAAATGATCGAGGAGGAGGTCAATAGAATTATACAGGTTGTGTATGTGGAGGAAAGAACAAACATTGAATGAATAAGTTGTGATGCAAAGGATCACTAAATAACTCAATTTGTCATATTATTAGAGAAGTTTGATGACATAGAAGCATATGACTAAGAGAACTGGGAAATACTATTATCCATCTTTAATAAGGTCCCAACTGTAAAGGCCGAGTGATGCAGCTACAAGGAGGATGAATATTGTGGCTTTACTAATAAAAAAGTTCTACAACTGGTAAGAAAAATAACAAGAAGAGCAAGAGTAATGAGCAAGAACAAGGTGAGGGAGACAAATTAATAGCAATAGGTGATGCAACCGGACAAATTGAATAAATGGACAAAGAAGATCGGTTATAGCTTCGTGAAACCAAGAGAGATGTGGTGGTCAAGGTATAGCAACATATGTACTATTATTGTTTCTTATATTTCATTTGCATCTTATTAATTGATGTTTTTTCTTTGAATGTACGAGAAGGATGAGATTGCTAACGATGAGGAAGCCACAATGATAATATTCAATATGAAGCATTTATCATGAGTTTCGTATATAAAGTTTTGAGTTTTTATTGATTACATATTTCACGTCAGTTTTTTCGTGAGACATGTTAATATTAATATCTATTTTAGTTTGAAATTTATTTGTCGACAAACGTTTCATTATTCTTATTCATCATGAGTATTTAACTGTGACATAGAATATGTAATCTTATTTGTAAACGACATATATCTATAAATAATATCAATAACATGCCACATATTTCTATCAATAATATGATATCATAAACAGACATATATCTAGGTATCTTATCTTTCTATGGCTAAATGCACAAAGTATTTATTGCCAAATGCATCAAAATAATTTATAAATGAAGTGACTATATATATATATATATATATATATATATATATATATATATATATATATATATATATATATATATTCATGTGGATTATACTTGTCAAATGGAGTAGATAATTTTTTTTATTATAATAGAGGAAAAAATTCCTCCCCAAACAGTGGCCAACGACTCTCCTTATGTATGTATACACATAAAAATATCTTAAAAAAGAAAGTACAAGAAATTTGATTAATCATTTGTTTCAACCACTACATTGCTTGCATGAGCATTTCTTTTTTTTTTTCTCTTAATTTTCGGATCCAAGATGAAAGGAATGATTATTTTTTATTTTTTAATTATTTTATATATACTATATTTTAACTTTACTTATAAAAATAAAAATGAAGTTATTACTATTATCTGACTTTTTAGTGTAGATTGCACAACAAAATTAGACTAAATTTTGCACATATTGGAATAACAAAAAGTAATTGTACGTATTATTTATCCTTATACATTGGTAATATATTGTTGATATAAATAATGAAATATAATCATAGTCAAATCTTTAAATTTACACTAATTTTAAACATGATTATACAAGTGGAATAGAATACTTTTATAGATTTTTAATTTTAGATAAATTTATATACATTTTCATGATTTATTTGGTAATTTTCACATGGGTTGTAAGAAATTAGATTGAATATGGATTTATTTAATAAAAATAATTACATTATGTATTTAGTACTTTGTTACAGTTATACTAATTTTTTTAAAATCTGAATTATACTGAACAGTTTAATCGGTTTAAGCCACAATACGAAGGACTTTTTTTTTAGCATTTTAGATTAACGATGCTATGTGGTAAAACTTTGAAATCGAACACTATGCAGCAAAAGTTAGAAGATTGAGATTTTCTTTTAGATAAAGAACTCAAAAATTTTTGTTTTGTTAAAAAAAAAAAGATGCAATTGGTGATGAATTAAAGTGATATCATTGCATACGCTATTAAGGTTGTGATGAAGATTCGTGCTGTGATTTGATGGTTCGTGAGATACTAGAACAGAGTTTGATTGATAATTAGATGTTAGAGATTGTGTAGTAACTTCTATTGCTAAACAATAGTCTCTAATGATTTATGTCTCTCGATAAGAATGTAGTTGTTTTGACAATCAATTATTATCAATTTTATGTTGCTAAAAAAGGATCAGATTTATTAATTGAAGGAGATAATAGTAGATTATGTATTTGTAGTTGTTTCGACAATCAATTATTATCAATTTTATGTTGCTAAAAAAGGATCAGATTTGTTAATTGAAGGAGATAATATTAGATTATGTATTTTTATTTAATTAGATAAGATATATTATTAATATGATTGAATTTTGATTATAGTTATTGATTAATAGTAAAGAAGTTCATATTTCTTATGGGATATCCTTACGAGGAACTTTTAATAATTTATTCTAGATCTTCTAATTTCGTCTATAAATAAACAGAACATCTTGGAAAGGGGAGAAAGAAGGTTTAGTTCTCTTGTATATTTGCATATTAACAATGATTAGGAAAATGAAAATCTAGTTCTCACAGTAATTTTGGATCCAAAGACACACAAAGATCTTTTCAGATAATATTAAAAAATATATATCGTAAAATTGATATAATATTTTTTTGCATTATATAAATGATGGTTTCATGAGATACTAGAACAGTGTTTGATTGATAATTAGATGTTAGATTGTGTAGTAACTTCTATTGCTAAACAATAAACTCTAATGATTTATGTCTCTCGACAGGATTGTAGTTGTTTTGACAATCAAATATTACTGTTGCTAAAAAGGATCAGACTTGCTAATTGAAACAGACAATCAATATCTATATCACCTTATCAATGTCTTTCGAAATTGATTTCTTGAGAGTATAAATTGATATCTATATCACCTTATCAATGTCTTTCAAAATTGATTTCTTGAGAGTAGAAATTGATATCTATATCACCTTATCAATGTCTTTCGAAATTGATTTCTTGAGATAAAGAAGAGAATAAGTCATGCACAATAATAATGGGTCATTTATGCAAAATCCTTAGGGGATCGACCAATTAA